CATCTATCTACACCCACACACCCCCACACACACACACACACACACACACATATACAGGGTGAATTCATATGTAAGAAAAAAAAATATTGGTTGATCTAATAATGCTAATAATTAATTTTAATATTTAACTCCAAAATGTTATATCATCTCTAAGACAAAGAAATTGGTGTGTAAATGCACCATCATTCTACACCTCAGATCAACTAAAGCTGCTTTTGTTAGTTAAATGTCAAAAGTTATTTGTGGAGTTATACCTTAACCAGTGAACACAAGCAAACTCACTCACCAGCTCATCCATTTGAATTCCTAACCATTCACCCAGAGGAGTTCTGTCTATAAACAAACAGATGCATAGGATTGGAAAACTGGAGGCACAACTGTACACATCTCTGCCATCCCCAGTCTCAACACTGCGGTTGGGGTTTTCATTAGAAGTTTAAAGTTACTTGCTTCTCTGTTTATGTTGGTTATGACAGACCGTGGGTGGGTTTGGGTGGGAGTGCAGAAGAGGAGTGTGTTTTAGAGACTTCCTGTGTGTATGTGTGTGTGTGCATGCCTTATATGTTTATGTGTGTTTGTATCTGCACATAGGCATGTGGAGGGGGATCTTTGTGCGTGTCTCTGCACTTTTTGTCTGCTGTCAACAAACTCCCTTGTTACTGTGATTATATTCATCCTCATGTCCTTCCTGATCTTTATCATGAGCACCGGCATCCGACCCAGAAATAGACTAGCTAGATAGACACATCAATTTAGAATTATTTTGCAAACCTTTAATATGAATAATGGAGGAATTCTGTAACATTGCAGCCATTTTCTTCAATGTTTAATATTAAAAAGCTGAGTGAGTGTCAAACATTATTCATGAAACAATAATAAAGGAAATAGTACTGTTGATACTGAATAATGGCTGTGTTAATCGACAATAATAACTCCAAGGTGTATTTGACATACTAAACCTTTAAACATGGACTAAACCAGTGTCTGTAATTAGACCTTTAAAAGACATCCAAAAGACCTCAATAAAAATCCTCCAGATCTATATATCCATTCAAATGAAATCATCTCCTATCCTCTGTCTGCTCATCATCAGTGCAGAGGGAAGCTATGCACATCAGTCTCTCTTATCAAATGCTTTATTCTATAGCAAGCTGTCCATCTGGAGATGCTATCAAATTAGACACTGGTCTAGAAGCTTCTCATTGTCTTCACTGATTCCACAATGCGTTCAAAGCGTTCCAGAGCTCTCTGACTCAAACAGCAGCTAGTGTTCCTGAACAGCTGCCTTCATTCTGCTGTCCGAGCAGGGACTAAACTAGAATGAATGCTTTTCATATCTACTGATCATTGTCTTCGTGTCCACATCCCTAAAGCCCACTTACACTGTCTCCCGAGGGGGAAGCCATTTTGGCAATTATCCCCCTTCCTCTAGTATCAAATGGAGACCGGGGTCATGGGTTAATTTGAACGGGTTGAGCTGAATGTCAAGTTATGCTGTAACATCGAGCTATGAGGAGTTATCACTGATGATTAATGATTATGGGAAATTAGAGCGTATTTGATGTGGTTTGGAGAACGTCTGATCTGTCAGAGTTATGCAGACAGTTACGTGGACATACACAAATCTTTCATCTGTCTCAATATCCTGTTTGACTGCCATTGTTTTGTTATTTGATCTTGTTAACTCAATCTTAATCCGAGGAACAAATAGTTAGTCTTAGAAGTATAGTTTTAGTACTTTATAATATAGAAGTGTAGTACAGAATTATAAAAATAAAGAAATTGGGTCAATGGCGTGACATTCATTTTTTCTGTTCCATTAATTTATTCAAAAATACAATAAAAATGCAATTTGTGCTTACAGTGACTTGAATACGCATTTAAGGATGATCATGTCTTTAATTCTTTGTATTAAAATTATTTTTAATTTTTTTAGGGAAGCATATAGTCGAAAATGTCAGGGTGATACAACTGTCCTGATAAAGAAGAAAAATTCTCATTAAGGACATTTTTAAGAAGAAAACCCTATAACCTGCCAAATCAGAATCATATGGAGTGACCAACAAAGTCTTGTGGCCCAACCAACATGAAGAAAATTAAGAAAAAATTAAATGATATCATAGAGAGGACCCTCATAACTGTGTTAAGGTCAATATGTCTCTTAAAATATCAGATAATTTAATGTTTTTATTATGGTTAGTTCAGGTTGTCATGTGGTGTGACTTCTAAAAAAATTTAATGATATTTATGAATTGATAATTCCATAACATATATTGTTACATTTTTATTTGATGGTTACACCACATGATATTGAATGTAAACTTTTCTTGAAAATGTTACACATAGAAAAAAAAAAAATGCAAATCTCTAAGAGACCAATTTGTATTATCACGTATGCTCTTATACATCATTGACCCAATAACAGTTATTATATGAGAATATGTTTGTGTAGTTCCGATGTGAGCACATGCATAACGTGCATGTGAACAAACCATGTTTATGCTGACGACTTAGTCCATTGATCCCATCGCAGGCCAAAATGGATTTGTATAGCTCTATTCCCCACAGTGGTGGAGTTGGAAGATCTGGCAGTGATAATATTGTGGTTACTTTAGAGTCCCCACCATGTGCAATAAAATATACAGTGCATTATAAAAGTTTTATCCTTTCTTGTTATTGTGCTATTCAATACCCATTATTCGGAACCCAACGAGACTGGCCAGGGGCGTTATCCTGCGCTCTGCCAATCAAATGTGCTGCATATAAGCCAGTGTTATTCAGATAAGCAAAACGCTTTGACAATTCCTGACACGCTACGGAACATTCCGAGATCTGCTATGCAAACAAATTTGTGATTCCAGGTGCTGATGAGTGATTTCTGATGTTTCTGTCCTCGGGTGCCCTGGCCAGTCTTCTTAATAAGGGAGGGGGTCTGTTCTGGTTTATGAGCAATTTTACTTTGCCGTAGTCAGGGCGGTGTTTTTAAAAAAAGAGTAATGCGTTCATAATAGTACATTTCCTTCTTATAAAGCCTCTCTGCTCAGCAGGGGCACATTAAAATAATGCGATTCAAATGAGGCTGTCTGATGTGACTGGTGATTACAGCATTCTGACACGCAATTCCATCTGTCTCTTCTGTCCGCAGAGTAATGGATCCCTTGGATGGTGTCAGAGCCATAAACAGTGTGCAAAGGTAATTTCTGTCAAAATTACACAGCATTTCACAGCAGCTTGACATAAAAGCCAACACAGATCTGTCACTGTATAACATTGGTATGCCTGCGCACCTCCTGTAATAACATCATACATCATCGTAAAAGCTACTGTATTTGTCAGCTATCGCCTTGGACTATTATATCTGTGCTAGCTGGTTGTCGTACAGAAATGAGATTATGATTCACTAGCAAAGCTCGAGGTCACATCTGTAATGAGACTGATACAAATGGAGTTGAAAGGCTATGTTTTTTGATTCGCATTATATTATACAGCCGGTGTTATTTTTCTTTTTCACTTCAAGGCAAAATGCTAATTTCAGTAAAGAACTCAACCCACTTTTCTTAATGAGGACATTAACATGCTCTAGCGGCCTAGTCCTTAAATAACAATAATATGCCGGTAGCACGGAGGAAATAGAGCTGACATGTTGCCAATGCAGATTTTCCACACATTTCACTGTGGTATTATGTAAAGCTCCCTTTGATGTATTGTTAAAGAGGAGGGCCGCTTTCCTTTCAATACTCTGTGCTTGCATTCCTTTACATGTCAACCAGCTATTGCAGTCTGCACAATGCCGCCCAGAAAACCTTCTTGAATGTACATCTGGACGTTTTAAAAATTTTCGAAACAGTTCATGATTGTGCATGTTACGGTTAAGTGCCTAAGCAGACTTTTCATGGCTTGAGGGGCGGCTTTAAGGATTTGAGCTCTTTAATGCATTGATGTATGTGTGCATATGGTTGGAAAGAGTGCAGCACGTGTTTTCATATCACCCTCGGGGTAAGTTCACTGGAACAGCCAGGGTTCTGACCTCTCTTCTACAATCCATGAAAACATTTGGCCAACTGGTTCATGGATTTTTACTGCATTCTCCAGAGAGTTTCCTCCATTGGATTCAAACGAGGACAATGCCTTTTAAACTCTTTCTGCTCATTATACAGGATCCACATTCAGTTAGAAGCCCAAATGCTTCACGACAATGTGCTTTTAAAACCCTGTGTCTCTAATAATGCGGTTAGTTTTGTCATTCTGAGTAGAGATGTAGATTCAAGATTCTTTGATGAATATGAAGTTCAACTGAATGTGTTATTGCTGAATAAAAGTATAATAATAATTATTATTATTTAAAATATTACTGCAAAATTTTGAATAGTAATGCATCACTGTTTCCACAAAAATATGAAACAGCACATCTGTTTTCAACATCGATAATAATATGAAATATTTCTTGAGCAGCAAATCAGCATATTAGAATGATTTCTGAAGGATCACGTGACACTGAAAACTGAAGTAATGATGCTGAAAAATCAGCTTTGCATCGCAGGAATAAATGATATTTTAAAATATATTCACATAGAAAACAGTTATTTTAAATTGTAATAATATTTCACAATATTACTTAAATGAATGCAGCCTTGGTGAGTGTAAAAAAGTACAATGAAATGTGTGCTGTGTATAATCTCCCATTAAAATATCCCCCATGGGATTCATGGGTTTAATAAAACTGAACTTTTTTATTAGTCTCTGTGCAGGATAAGACTGAGTTTCTTGCACAACATTGTGGTTTGCTCTGGAATTACAGACCTTATTCACTTCCATTGGCGTTTATGCCACATTCAGGTGAATAGGCCTCTAAAAGTGTTAAAATCTCACAACAAAGTGTGCACGTCTGATTAAAGAGCTGTATCATATCACTGCATGCAGGCACAAAGCAGACTGCAGCTTTTGTTTTCCTGACCTTGTTTAGCGCTTCATTCCAGAACTAGGATTTGCATTCAGCATGTGCACATAAGCATTAATACTCCTAATAGAGTGTTTACAAACTAGACTTGTGCTTCAAATCCTGTCTCAGACATTAAACTGTCTTAGATGTTCCTGCTTATTTGGTTCCAAAATGGCCAGTTAACGTGCTTCTTGTTTAGGCTTCTTGCCTTGAATTGACAGTTAACCTAGTGGTCTCCTCTCATCAGCTTTTGAATTATAATAACTATACTCAGACAGCACTTGACCAGCTCGCCACTGAAGTACTCTTTAAAGCGATTAGCATGCTATAACTACATACAGCAATTCCTCCATTTCAATCGACAAATGTTAAAGTATACAGACGGCCCTTAAATCGAAGATCTGCTCTTAAAAGTTATGCCTCCGCAGCAAGTGGCCTTTAGGCATTTGATATTCAAATGCCACTGAAATAATTAGTGTGCCTTGACAATTCTCTTACCCTCCAGTTTAATCGCTGGTTCAAGTATTAATGCAAATGCAATTGCAAAACTGAGAGTGCAAGCAATTTTCATGACATGGGCGAGATTTCAATTACAGTTGCTCTACATAATTTGCTGAGGCTGGCAAAGTGAGTGTGGAAGGCCTGGAACCTTCTTTTGTAACTGCAATTTGTCCGAACGTTTGCCACAGACATGGGTGGAATTCTCGCATTCCTTCCTAGCATTAAACACCCAAAGCATGCATCGACCAAACTCACTTATGGAGGGCGCCATGTCAGATTTGACCATTTTATTCAAAAGAGACCGGTCTTATTTTTCACGTAATGCTAAAAAGTACAAAACATGTCTTAGTTTGTTCAAGGGCAATGCATCTTGGCTGAACTGGAACTCACCCAAGGCTTCTCCTCAGCTCAATCTCCATGTCCGCAGCTCTTAAATAACCTTTATTTTGTACGGTAGAAGGGAATGCTTGATTTGAGACTGAAATGAGGCGGAAAACTAACTGGCGCTGGGGTACAATAAAGACACTAGGAGCAAACGCTTTCATGGAGATTACAGGTGCCTCACGGACAAAAGCAGGGTGGGTTTGGCACAAGCCAAAAGGTGGCTTTAGAAAGGTGAAAGCAATTTAAACCCAGCATTGCAGGATTTAAATACTTTAAGTGATTTATAGCTTAGATCTATGCTGTGCTTTTTCCACCAACATGCAATGCATCATAAAGGGCCGCTACACAAAGGGAATGAGCCATTGAGTGCTGTATTTGAGAAACTGATAAATGAGACCAGGGTTGTGAATGTGGCGTTCCTCAGAACAAGCTATTGTTTACAATGGTTTAGGTTTAAGGGTGAGGGTGAATGAGAATGTAGTTTATAAAGAGGCCAATGCATCTACTTGTCATATGAGGTATGCATTATATCTGATCAGTTATAAAGTGTGGATAGGAGGTAATGTTCCTGCAGTGAAATCAGTATTGCACAAAAACACATTACCTGCAGAGTATTGAGCGGGGAAACATAGATGTTTATCAAATACTGCATTAATCACATATGATGCTGCAGAATTAAATGGGTCCTATTATGCTCTTTTACAAAGTCTTGATTTAGTTTTGGGGGTGTGCTAGAACATGCTCTCATGCTTGGTGTTTCGAAAAACGCATTATTTTTCATATAATTTACATGATTAAAATACCTTTCTCCCGAGCCTGGCACAAACAGCTCTATTAGTTCTGGGTTTGATGAAGGCCCGCCTTACGAAAAACAAAATGTGTTGTGATTGGTTAGTTGACCCAGTGCGTTGTGATTGGCGAACAGCTTAGAAGGTGTCTCAGTACTGCCACGGATGGCGTCAATATTGCCATATCAATTTGAGCCGGATTCAGACCCCGAGAATATTGAACAAGAGGATCGCGCAGAACCTTTACACGCACAGATATTGCAAGATTATTAGAGTGGTAATGTTATTGTTGTTGTTTTCTTTTTGTTGTTTTTTGGCTAAATCATGTTTTAGATAGGATGTCAACAACCGCTTAAAAATAAGTACATTTACTATGTACAGATAAGTGCAACGGTAATATGTATTATGTTTATTGTTCTTTAATTCTAACATTATAACATGAATTGCAGTGAAACTGTTATACAGTTGAATTTATTTATACCATAGTCTCATAATTGAAGTGTAAATTCTGCAGATTACATCATTGTTCAGTATTGTACGGTCAGCAATTTATGAAAAATATTGTTTGAAGTGTTTCTTCGACATGGCGAAAACTTGACGCTACATCAGCTCTTCTTCTTCATTTTCTCTGATGCACTAACTCTGCAGCAGCACTTCTTCTTTGTCATCTTGTCTGATGCACTCAACCAAGCGTTCTAACCATGACCTCACCCCTCCCCACCCCTCAACCATTTGAATTTCCGTAGGCGGGAATTATTTTAATGATATTCTAATGGGCCGCTTTGTGACATCACAAAACCCGGAAAACAA